GTGTGTGTGTGTGTGTGTGTGTGTGTGTGTGTGTGTGTGTGTGTGTGTGTTTTCCAGGTACTCTGACTTCCTTCTATAAACCAAAAACATTGTATGTTTAGGCTCATTGGCAACTCTACTGTAGATTGTCCCCAAGTGGGTGCGAGTGTGTGACTGGTTGGTTGTCTCCAAGAGTCCATGAGACAAACTGGAGACCTGCCCTGAGTGTCCCCACTGCTCACCCTCCAGCTGCTGGAGTTAATCACCAAATGAGTGAGTGAGTGAATGAGTGAGTGAGTGAGTGAGTGAGTGAGTGAGTGAGTGGCAAAAAATACCCCACCTAGAGATGTACTTGAGTTGTCATTTGCCCCTGATGAATCTGGGCTTTGACCTTTAACCCCTGACATCTAAGAAATTACTCCTTAAATCTAACTGGACATTTGTGCCACATCTGCAGGAATTCAACTTAGACTCTGAAGTGATAACAGATTCACATGCTCGGTGATACCCTTGATCTTTGACCAATACATTAAAGTCATGCAGCCTTGAGCTCAAGTTAAGTTCTCAGTTATTCATGAGAGGCTGGAAAGAACTGTTGCTAGGTTAAAAAAAAACAATTTCTAAGGGATGTTTCTATCAAATATATAAAATAGTTAAATTGTTTGGGTAACAAATCCTGTTACCTGAGCTCCAACCATCATCGGAAGTGGTGGTGGTGGAGGAGGAGGAGGAGGAGGAGGAGGAGGAGGAGAAAAACATTTATTATTATTTTTTTTTACTAATTTGTCAAAAAGTGAAAATGATTAAGTGAGTAACAAAACCTAAATATTTTACCTGAAATTCAAATTATTGTTGACAAACATTCTCATTCAACAGAATCTGTTTGACTTGTTTCTAAATCGTGGTTGTACATCTTACAAGTTACGGGTAGCTCTTGGAATGAAAGGGAATTCGATTTGACCAGACTGATGAGCTAACAGCTAGTTATAACTAACAAAACCAGTTAAAATGTAACACTATCCATCCATCCATCCATTTTCATCCGCTTATTCGGAGTCGGGTCGCGGGGGCAGTAGCCTAAGGCAAGAGGCCCAGACTTCCCTCTCCCCAGCCACTTGGGCCAGGTCCTCCGGGGGAATCCCAAGGCATTCCCTGGCCAGGTGAGAGACATAGTCCCTCCACCGTGTCCTGGGTCTTCCTTTAGGTCTCCTCCTGGTTAGACGTGCCCTGAAAACCTCACCAGGGAGGCGTCCAGGAGGCATCCTGACCAGATGCCTGAGCCACCTCAACTGGCTCCTCTCGATGTGGAGGAGCAGCGGGTCTACTCTGAGCCCCTCCCGAATGACCAAGCTTCTCACCCTATCTCTAAGGGAGAGCCCAGCCACTCTTTGGAGAAAACTCATTTCGGCCGCTTGTATCAGCGATCACGTTCTTTCGGTCACTACCCAAAGCTCATGGCCATAGGTGAGGGGAGGAATGTAGATCGACTGGTAAATCGACAGCTTCGCCTTCTGACTCAGCTCTCTCTTCACCACAACAGACCGGTACAACTCCCGCATCACTGCAGATGCAGCATCAATCCGCCTATCGATCTCACGCTCCAGTGTTCCCTCACTCGTGAACAAGACCCCGAGAAACTTAAACTCCTCCACTTGGGGCAGGACCTCATCCCTGACCCGGAGAAGGCATTCTACCCTTTTCCGACTCAAGACATGGTCTCAGATTTAGAGGAGCTGATTCTCATCCTAGCTGCTTCCCACTTGGCTGCGAACCGCTCCAGCGAAAGCTGAAGATCACGTTCTGATGAAGCCAACAGGACCACATCATCTGCAAAAAGCAGAGACCTGATCCTCAGGCCACCAAAACGGATGCCCTCCACACCTTGGCTGTGCCTAGAAATCCTGTCCATAAAGGTTATGAACAGAATCAGTGACAAAGGGCAGCCTTGGCGGAGTCCAACTCTCATTGGGAACGAGCCCGACTTACTGCCGGCAATGCGGACCAAGTTCTGACACCGGTCATACAGGGACCTAACAGCCCGTATCAGAGGGTCTGGTACCCCATACTCCCGGAGTACCCCCCACAGGGCCCCCCGAGGGACGCGGTCAAACGTCTTCTACAAATCCACAAAACACATGTAGACTGGTTAGGCAAATTCCCATGCACCCTCCAGGATCCCCCTAAGGGTATAGAGCTGGTCCAGTGTACCACGGCCAGGACGAAAACCACATTGCTCCTCCTGAATCTGAGGTTCAACAATCCGACGGACCCTCATCTCCAGAACCCCTGAATAGACCTTACCAGGAAGGCTCAGGAGTGTGATCCCCCTGTAGTTGAAACACACCCTGCGGCCCCCTCTTTTAAATAAGGGGACCACCACCCCGGTCTGCCAGTCCTGTGGCACTGGTCCGATGTCCACGCGATATTGCAGAGCCGGGTCAGCCAACACAGCCCCACAACATCCAGAGCCTTAAGGAACTCCGGGCGGATCTCATCCACCCCTGGAGCCTTGCCACAGAGGAGCCTTTTAACCACCTCAGTGACCTCAGCACCAGATATTTGAGAGGCCAACCCAAAGTCCCCATGCTCTGCTTCCTCACTGGAAGATGCGTCGGTGGGATTGAGGAGGTCTTCGAAGTATTCTGCCCACCGATCCACAACGTCCTGAATAGAGGTCAGCAGCATACCATCCCCACTATAGATAGTGTTGCTAGCGCACCGCCACCTGACCCATTTGGCCCCTCCCACAAGTAATGAGCCCATGGGAAGGGGGACCTACGTTTCTTCTTTGGGCTGTGCCCGGCCGGGCTCCATGGGTGAAAGCCCGGCCACCAGGCGCTAGCCAACGTGCCCCACCTCCAGACCTGGCTCCAGAGGGGAGATCCGGTGACCCACGTCCGTGCGAGGGAACACTGTTTCCATTTATATAATTCATCATAAGAGGTCTTCGTGTTGCTCTTTGTCTGATCCATCACCTAGGACCTGTTTGCCATGGGTGACCCTACCAGAGGCAGAAAGCCTTAGACAACTTTACTCCTAGGATCAATGAGACACTCAAACACCTCCACCACGGTAAGGTGGCAGCCCAGGGAGGGAGAATGTAACACTACCATCTTAAAGAGCAAGTTCACTGAAAAACAAATGTTTATTTCTGATTATAATCTGTCACTCTGAGTTTTACATGCAGAATGAACGTGAAAATGCTCCACTACACCTATCTTCGGCATTAGCATTTTATTAAAAATAGATAGTGAGACTCTATGATTTGTGAAGCCTGACAGATCTATGTCACACAGTCACTTAATGGACTCACCCATCTCAGCTCGTGACGGGGAAGGCTGTTGTTGGTTTAGCGTCCAGGAAACGGCAGAGCATGTCTCTGCTAGTAGAAGCTAACCATTAGCATTAGCAACTTCACGACACAGGTTTTTGTTATTTGTGGAGATAAAGCATCCACTCTGCAGAGCAAACATTCAGTGGTAAAGTCCCATTGCTGTTAGCCAATCAGAGAAGAGATGTCCAAATATCAGGAAATAAGACTCCAAATCAGGTCATCTGAAGGTATTTTCTCTTCCAGATGACTTCTACAGGTGCACCACAGATTTTTTCCCCAGAGTATGATTTACAGGGCATTCATTCCTACTAGAAACCTCTGCAAATGTATTAAAATGTGAGTAAAGTTCCAAATTTCCAAGTTCCAAATGCAATATTGAATAGTTATTGATGCAAGCACTGTTTTTTACATCTTCATTGCTGGTTAGCGCTGAGGACCTATCTTGCAGGAAAAAGTCATTTTTGGTAGTAACGTTAGCTGTTTTTATTATTATTATTATTATTATTATTATTATTATTATTATTATTATTATTATTATTCCTCAATCTGTCAGCTATGACTATTAGTTTAAAGCTTGATCTTTTATCCTGAGGTCTCACACATCACACACACGGCTGCTTTTACTTTTTTAAAAAAATAAATTCATTAACTTTTGATATGTCGCTTCACATAATGTTCTTCCATGAATGCAAAGCTGTGAATTAAATTAAAAGCATGTCACAGCTTTTGTTTATTTTGTGCACATCCATTCTTTTTAAATCTGACAGAAAGAAAAGTGCGTGGTAATAAAACAGAGTTATGCTTTGACTGAAGTTGGAAGGTGTTGTGTGGTGATGTGACACTGTTTACAGCAGAGCGCTGGAAGGTTTTGGGGGTGGAGGGATGGAGAGTCATGTGACCATCTTTGTCATCTCATATTCTGGCAGGAATTTTTATATGAATCCTTTTATCTTTAGCAAAAAATAGAGCTGCAGAGGTTGAGATGTGGACAAATGATGAACAAAAATACAGGAACACACATCTAAATTGCTTTTAAGGAAACATTACAACATGAAGGGAAATGAAAGGAAAGAGTGAGGAACCCATGAAAAATTGCAGGATCGAATGATATAATTTGCTTTGATTTAAACATGAAAGGCAGAAATGCAACAAAATGGGTAGAGAAATGATTCATGTGGTACCTCTGTGCCTGAGAGGTAAGAGCGCAGCAAAGGTGTTAAAGAAAGAAACAATTTCCCAAATGCAGGACAAAGTGACCTCACAGACAACTGGCTGGTTAACGCCTGTGTCAGGCTGACTTGGGGAAATGTTTCAGTGACATTCATCAGCAGCAACGGTCTCCTATAATAATCACAAAGTCAAACTTCACCTCACACAAAAAGGCTTCCTCTGACTTTTCTTTATGTCTGTCTGAGTGTGGTCCTGTAAAAGTGTAGGCCCACACATTCAGCCTCACATGTGGACAAAGCACACGCTGTTTAACTCGCTGATTCCTTTGACCTGCTGGACGTGTCATGCTTAACATGGCCGAGTCCACTGTGACCTGCTGTGAGCGTAATGGCAGCAGTGAGACAAATAAATGAAGGAAAGTAGTTTATCATCTTTAAGACCTTTCAGGAGGAGAGGCGAGTGAAACAAGTTGTCAGGAGACAAAACTTTTTATTACACCGCAGGCTTTGACACTGACCTGTTAAGGAAGTCTGAGAAGGACAACCGGATGGGGTATCCATGACGGATCACTCGCACCATCTCAAGCACTCCGATGTTCTGCAGCTGTGTGGACACGTGGAAGCTGCTGAAGCTATCAGGCTGACCGCAGGAGTTGGGGCGCACACACTCCACAAAGTGAGGGGTGCAGCTCTGAAGTTTAGTCATCATCTCGGACAGAGAGTTCTGAGAGAGGGAAAAGGGAGCCATTAATGACTTCAAACAAGCTTTACTCACTTATTTATTAGTGTTTCAGTAAGAAGAACTTTACTAGTTTCTCAGTGACAAAGACTTCTGACTTTTAGGTTTTCTCTTTGAAGGGAATAAAAAACCACAAAGAACTCTTTTGAGACAGTGTGAGAAATCTTTTCTTCAAACCCTCTATTCTAAGATTCCGCATCCAAGGTCATGCAGACACATGTGCGTAAACACTTACATCTGTTTGTTGCCACGCTTTGAACTGACATCAGTCCACAGCGTGGCCTCAGGTACCTCGTTTATGAAAGCCACCGCCATCATCCTTCAAAACGCGCACGTACGCACAAACGCCTGCACACGGAACACAGTGGCTGTTGTTCATTGTTCATTCATGTGGAGGGCTTCATGTTTGGCTTGGTACGGCATCATTCTTCAGCCCAGTCTCTCCTTCGCTGCCGTTCCCAGAGGGGCTCGTCAACCACAAGGCCACAACTCTGATTGTGCAACACAGTGGCTTCATTCAGACCAAAAGGCACTCCTCCCCTGGACCACATCTCAGCCTCCTTGCGTCACCAGCACGGACTGAGCTGCTTTCTGCTAACTGAATATTATTGTTGCTTTAAATAGTTATGAAATCACAGTTCCCTACACTGAGCACATCTTAGGGTTGCGTTGTTGCTGAGGTCTGGGGACTGCTGTGACGAAAGCACTGGCTGGAGATAAGACCAAAATAAAATAAATCTCAGAGTCTCAACAAGCAACATCGTTGTACTCAGATAAGATGTGATCCAGAAGCTGGTTGCTATGGAAACACAATCAGTGAAAAAAATATACGTTTTATTGAATCTTTCTTGATGATTTATTGTAGCTTTGGTATAGTTAAGGATAGCTTCAATCCAGTGAGGTTTAGATTATAGTACCCTACATGTCCACACCTGATAAGGGGGGCTGTGGCTTGTTGTGCTTGGGGTCATAGTACTACTATTAAGTACTTAAATAAGTAGTTTTGATCAAATGTGTGAAAAAATGCAAGAGGGGTGTAACTCTGGGACCCCTTTTCAAACCAAACCATTTAGGGACTCCTTAACACCTAACCCTAACCTTGACTGGTATTGTGGAAAGAATGTCGATTAAATACCCAGGGTGGAGAAAACAAAGTAACGACAGTGATTGTCAAAACATAAATATAACATCAGAAGTCTACAATACCATAAAAGAACAACGATTATGTGACGAATATCATTCTTTCACCAGAACATGGTTCTAACAATATGATAAAGTACCTTTATCAGACTAACGTGGATCACAACTTTTCAAATTGTTTCGTAGTCAATGAGGAAATAAGAGCTGCAGATGACGTGCGTCGGCTCGTGCATTGCCTTTGGCTCCCCAGTTTCAACCGCACAGTTGTTGGATGAGGCGGGGAGGGGGGGGGGGGGGGGGGGGGGGGGATAAAGATAGCCAATACACACCTATCCCTTCTCCACTTGAATGAAAAGCTGAACCGATTAGAAACACTTTTGCATAATTACCATTCCCACGTGGATGACAAGTGACACGCTACGATACAACTGATATGATCTCGATTATTCTATCACAATCGTACAGTTCCTAGTAACATACATCAAAGAAGGTTCCTGAAAAGAAGCTTTAGATGATGCTCATCACTAAGTAACAGGAAGTGTGTATACCTTCAGCTGGACAGCCACCGTGATGGGCCCACAACGCTCCAGACGCTGCAGGAAAGAACTCGAGCCTTTTTTCTTCAACATCTAACAACAAGAGGTAATACCAAAGCGTGTATATATAAGATATCTCATCCCCGAGTGACCACTAAACAACAACAACAACAAAAAAACAGTACAAACATTAATACCATTAAATTTGGTCGTCTGGTCTTAAGTAGAGATCAAACATGATGATGGGGTCTTGATGGCATGCTTGCAATTACGGTAAATTGCCCATCTGCAGAATTCAGTCTCAGTTATGACTTTTATGCTTTAAAGCTTAACAAGACCCATGACATTTACTGTGTTGTAATGTTATAGGTACACTCATACTCAAGAGCTCAGCTAAATGAGTTATCTCTTGCTTGGTTGCACAAACAAATCCAATTCCCAGTGGTTTATATATAGATGTGTGGTGGGAAGTAGCTCAAATTAGACTAGTTTATTTATTTTCCATTTTCCAAAAGTAGTGTCCCAGTTTTTCCATTGACAGGCCCAGAAGGGCAGGCAGCTGTCGTATGGAACAGAAAACTAATTCCTGACTTTTCAAAATTGTATTTTATTTTTTCCCTGGGCTTAATAAACATTTAGCTAAAAGATGATGCCCAAAAGTATATTTAATGGGTTTCAAATGAGTTAAATTTGGATTTAACTGCAGGGCAGTGTGAACATGCTCTACCTTAGTGAGGTCATGGTATCTCCGAGGCTGTTGGGGGACAGAAGTGGCATTGACAGAGGATGCTGATGGCATCCTTTGGAGCAACAAGACAGCTTTGGTCCCTCTAAGTCCAACGCGGCCCTGGGCTGCTGGCACCAAAGAACCAGTCTGAGTCAGCTTGGACTGGAAGAGCTGCTGCAGTAGGACACTTTCACTGGCTGCTGGGCACCAAGCACATACATGCAGAGAGCAGGGGGGGACAAGGAGTGGAGAGTGAGCAACAGCATTGGTGGAGAAAAGGGGTGGAGGACAATATAGTGAAAAAAATGAATAGAAAAAAACTAATAAGATGTAATCATGGAAAGAAATACGCACAAAAAGAGGAGTTAGTGAGCATGGATGAAGATGTAAACATGTAAACAATCAGTCAGGCAGCAAGAGGCAACAATGAAGTCAACAAGAGTGGGAAAGTTAGTGGATGGCTCAGAAAGAGAGGAACGGAAGACACAGAGATGTCTCATTTTAAAGCAATAAAACTAAGTAAAGACATTTCTAAGACGATCTTCTCTTCTTGATTCTTTTTAACTGCTAGTGTTAAACTTGTGGTGTACAAAACAAGACTCGTCCATAGGGTGATGCAAGAACAGATGCAAGTCACATATGTAAAAACGAAATCCTGTTTACAAAGATGCATTAAGCAGATTTTTGTTAATCACCATGGTGAAATCAGAATGTTGCAAAATAAAGAAAAGTGTGTTTAAAAAAATGTTCTCCCATGAATATTATATGGTAAATGTATTTACAACAATAGCTAGCAATTTTAAATACATTAATATAAGTCATTTTTTGAAGTAGATGGCTAATACGTAAAAGCAGAAATACAGATTTTTGTCAGCAGACACCATCTAGAGACAGAAAAATGAATTGCACTTTAAGCTACTCCGCCCACTTCCATGATTCTGGCAAGAAGCAACACCTCTTTTTTTTAAATTTGCACCTCTAGCTGGGCAGAAGCGCTAAAACTTGATTTACAAATATTTTATCATTACATATACATTAATGATATACTTGTCCATAATTATTATGGCCAACTCTGCATCAGTCTAGGTATGTCCACAAACGCACATACACGCTCTGTGACGTAAGTGGATGTCTAACGCTATTGGCTAATGCTAAGTTGCACTCAGTTCAAATTGCAATGGGCTCTATGGGATGAGGGGCCAGGTTTAACAATAAAAAGATGCATGGCCTACTTAATTTCACAGTACAAGGTAAGACTATCACTTTAATGGATTTCAAAAAGGTCAAACATCACTTCCTGAAAGGAGCAAAGCTATCCTAGAACTTTGGACAGACAGCTGTCAAAGCTAACTTATATTGCTCTGCATGCTGGTCTAGCCATGCTCTATAGGGGCCTCAGTATTCAGTATAGTAGTCATTGTTAAAGAGCAGTGGTTTGGTGAGATGGAGTGGAACGACTATGATGGCGGCTTTGGCATCAACTTTGGACTATAATCTTGAGCTTGTCTTTGAGTCAAGAGCAAATAGAGGGACTGACATTCTTAAATTTAGAAACAATGTATTTCCATCTTCTTCGACAGTGTAGGGCGGACTGCCCTGTTGACTGACATCTGTAGCGTTTAGTATGTCATTTTGTTCATTGTCCAGGTGCATGCAGAGACAGTTTGAAAGATGACCATAAATCCCGCCCCATGACTGAGCTCTGTCTATAGGTCGTGGCCAGACTATACAGCAAATATGGCTTACCAATTTACAGGATTGCTGGTTTAATGTGGTTAAACCAACACTGAAAGGATAGTTTTACCAAAGTGCCAATCTGGCACATTTCTCCAACACACCAGCAAGAGGACAGCCTAAACTTTATGTGCATTTAACATGATGCTTTGCTTCAGAAAGAGTCAACAGAATTTGGCTTTGCCTCCTAAACAAGCGAGGAGGACATCAAAACAAAACACTGCCCTTTGTGTGCATGAAAGCATGCATTGCATCAACTTGTCAGACAGAGGCATGAGAGCCAACCCTGAGTGAAGGGCTAGCCTTTAGAAGTTTAGCCACATCATGGAAATTATAGTAATTAGACTGCTGGACGCAAGGCTTAGCTGGCATTTGCACAACGGCTGTCTGTGTCCTAGTAGCCACAACGCCACACATCTGGCAGCATATTTAGACAATATACACAGACGGTGCCTGCTGCACATGGGATGAAACACACACACACACACACACACACACACACACACACACACACACACACGCATGGATGCACGCACACACATATAACCATAACCAGGCCAAGACAAGGAGGCATTTTGTGAGCTGCATGTTTTTTAAACAAAAGTGCATCTTTGTGTTTAGTGTGCTCTTACGCCACAGTGTGCTCACATGCGTAGTAAGTGTTGCAGGATACTTACACTTCATTGTGAGCAGCACATTCTGAGAAACTGAGTCCTTGTTTTTTGTAACAGATCCTGTGAAGTCATACGAAACCTAGTAAGAGAGAAGGAATTTACAAAGTTACTTTCACAAAAGGAATTTTATTTAGGAATATATTAAGAGCTGGTGATAATGTAAAAAATAGCATTACAATTACATTGTTCTAGCACAAGGTCCTGTGACAAAAACATTTTCTCAAAATTCACAGAAAATTCCATTTTAAACTAAAACAGCAACTTTTGAAAGAAAAATCATTGTTTGTCATTTTTTATTTATAAAAAATTATTTCATTTTTCCACAAATAAATCCCCCCCCCCCCCCCCATTTCTAATACTCATGGGGTCTGTCTTAGTAAACCACCATTTAGTTTAATTTACTTGCAGAAATTACATTATGAGTTAGAAGGAAGTGACAGATTATTGTGTTATGTCTATCTCCTTTGTCCCCAGGAGACAAAAAGCCTGAAGCATAAAAGAAATAACTAAGTGACCTCTTTTTCTGATATCTCATTAACTCTATGTCACGGTGTGTAGTTTTGATTCTGATCTGAAATGCAGCTTTTTGGTTTCTCAAAAATATCTTGAGTTGATTATGAATGCATTTTACTGAAAATTTTACTTCCTGTTACCCACTGCTCCTTTATCTCACCAAGGCCTTCCTGTTGAGCCATTTCTCATGTTTCACTGCAAATATTTGATCACATGTACTGTATATTAAAAAGGGCTGCATTCCATTTCTTTGTGCATGCTAGTTCTGCAAAAATGCCAACAGGCAGAACATCCCCGAAAAGAAAATGCCAATTGTGACCATCATTGGACAGTGATGTTTATTTTCACTATAAAGCATTAAAATATAAAAAAAGATTGAATTTGTTGGTGATGAGCGTTATGGGACATCAATATGGATATTGACTCATAAAACAGACAGACCTTTCCTGCGTAGTGGCTGACAGTGAACGCCGGGCCTTGGTCTTTGGGTGGGGGGTTGCCATTTCCATCCTTGGTGGTGAGAGAGAGTCCCTGAATGGGACCTGAGTCCAGCTGGGTGAACAGCCTCTTATAAAGGGTCTGCTCCATGGGCCGCAAGCTCTGGCTCTCTTCATCTAATACACACAGCAGTCCCTGAGGCTTCGGCAGCCAGAACAAACATACACTCACGTGTTATTTATGTTGGTCATATTTACAAAGCGTACTTGCAATTTGTTATTCCTAGTGATACATCTATCGATCCCCATAGAGTAAGGCTTTCCCTTTGATATGAAGCAGATTCAGTCCCGATGCTTTGTTTCAGTGGGTTTTGGGTCGATACTGACATAATTATTAATAGAAAAAATGGTCTGGATGTAGAATGAAAAGGGGCTGACATGCAACAATGGTCCCTCGTCAGAAATGAACTGAGAACATGCTGTCGTTTATTCTTTCTTACCCAATTTTCCAAAGAGTTTTGGCTACGATTAGAAATGCCTTTTACTAATTTGAAAGGAATTAACCTTAAATCATTTAGTTGGCTTTGCAAAACTGAGCCCAAATCGGACCCTGACAGTAACACTACCTGAAGAAAGTAGTCCAAAACCGTGTGGCTGTTGGGTGAGTAGGTCGTCTCCATGGCGATGCCCTCCTGCAGACACTCGGCCTGCTCTTGCTGGAAAAGCACCTCGGAGACGTACCGCCTCAGCTGTTCATTGGTCATGTTCACGCACAGCTGGAACACACACACACACACACACACACCGTACACAGTAAACACAGTAGCTCAGCGCACGCCGTGTGGCTCCTTAGAGACACGCGGCTCAGTGTTTTAAAAGCAAACAAAGGCACAAATACAAATGCAAACATAACCTGCTGTGGGAGTCAATGGGGCATGAGTAATCCGACAGCAAATGAAACGCAGCAAATGTGAATATGGTCATTAACAGAGCCACTTTGTGGATTCTGTACACACTGAGACTTCCTGTCAGCTTTTCCACTCTATTAAGAACAAAGTGAGTAAAACCGTCCCTTTGGCAGGGGAAACTTAAGGGTGACTGAACAAAACACACAATTTATCGGTAGTAGCTTCAACTTTTACCAAAGTTTTCTTCTCAACACAGTAATGCTACACGGATGAGTCAAGGCTGACTTGTGTTCTTTCCTGTAAGTGGTTTATTGTTAGCCTCAAGGGTAACCACCTTGTTACAATCTCATTTGTAATTCACTTTGGATTAAAGCGTCTGCCAAACACAAACATTATTAAAACGAGGACTGGCTCATTTCAGTCAGGTTAGTTCAAATTATTTTCACTTTTAATGAGTAGGGTTGGATCTATTTAAATGTGTTCATTAAACACCTGACTGAAACACAAATTCAGCTTGATGCATGTTTGGTAATGGGTTACTTTTCAGACTTTTTGAATGACTTAAACAGATCAAACTGACAACTGAAACAACAAATAAGGCTGGACCTCATTGATTCTAATGATTCAACTAGTATAAAATGCATTGAAATAATGAAAATGTGCGAAAAAATACTACATTGTATGATAGCCAATTGTTTTTCAGTCAATGAAAATATTGTGTTAAAACTTTTAATGAATCTGCAAACAAGCTAGGTTTTGAATGTAAACATGATCACAGAACTCTCACCCCTTCCCTCAGATATCTTCCGTTAGACACATCTGGAACCGGAAACCCACGATGCCGGAGGAAACCAGATAGCGCTAAACACAAGTCGCTGTTTTCTACGTCCAAACATCTTTTGTTCATTATTTCAAATGGTGTTTTTCTTTTTGGGACTCTAGTTGAAGTGGCAGCAGTCGGCTGTTTCTCCTTCTCTGATATCATTGAGCCACGGACCTCTCACATCAGTGGTGTTCTGTTGCTAAATACACGAGTGTGTGATGAATGGAGGATGCAGGGACATGTGGAAGTGCAGCAGTTTAGCGAGACCAACAACCGGAGGGTCGAATAGTTGCTTTTGGCCCTAAAGTTGTCATTGGTGGAGGTTTTGAGACAATTGCGAGAGAATCACTTTCATGATTATTTTCCTTTTTTTTTAATCTTTAGGATCTATTTAAAGCTAAACTATGTTGGAATATTGTTAAGAGAAATGAAAAAAAAATATATTTTTAGTAGGGATGCACAGATACCGATACTGGTATCAGTATCAATAAAAGTTAACCGATACCAATGCATTTGCTTGAAAGTGGCTTCACTCTAACTTGTCATTTCTGTTCACCTAATATTTGAGTTTTGTGATAATTTCTATTCATATTTTACTTTTTATCCACCACAGCCTTTCCCTGTTGAAAGCAGAGAAGAAAATAAAACCTGTATTCCAATTCATAGCATTTTTTTGTGAGGTAGAAGTGTCGATATCGGTAATCGTATTGGTGAGTACGCCGTTCCAAGTATTGGTATCGTATCGGTTTGGAAAGAAGTGGTATCGCTGCACCCCTAGTTTTTAGCTAGCTTGTTTTCTAAATTTGCCATTGCAGCTTTGAGTGAAGCCAACATTAACTAGTGATCTAAACAGGGGAGCTGGAGTGCTCGGGTGAATAAAGTTTCTTCTAATAGGTGCAAAATCAAAAAAGTATACTACACATCAACGTTTCAATGCAATGTGCGTTTTTATCAGAGTTTGAGTTCAGTCTGATGAAGATGCACAATGCAGCGAAACGTTAGTGTATAGTATACTTTTTAGGATTTTGCACTTTTTAACTGAAGCTTTATTCACCTGAGTGCCCAAGCTCCCCTGTTTTGACTGATTGTCCTCCAGCTGTTCTGAGCGCCGGTATAACAAACGACGCTCAGAGGACCGCACCCAACAATAATAATTAGGCTTGTAGAAATGAAAGCCTTGTGAGTTCTCATCTGTAGAAAAGAAGCTCTGGCGCTCCTGTTTCAGGAAGTAGAAGCTAGCCAGAGGAGTGGGGTGCAGAAAATGGCAGGATTTGAAGTCCTACTCATTGTAATTCATGAAATTCACACATCTGTATCTGATTGGCTAACAGCTACAGCATTGGTTCTCCGTGTTTTATTTCCACAAATAACACAAGTAACCTGAAGGAATTTTGCCATATTGTGGAGCTGCTAATGCTAATGGTTGCTAATGCAGGAAACAGGGGTAGAGGTCTTATTTTCATGGTCAGCTTGCATGTAAAACTCAGGAAGGCCAATTATATTAAACAAAGAACAAGTATTATTCATTCTTCAGTGGACTTTTGCTTTAAAGGCACAAATAATTATGACAATTAAGTTTGTGCAGGGGCGTGTCCAGGGGGTGGCCTGGGGTAGCACATGCCACCCTTGGAATCTGACTGGCCACCCAACTGAATTTCCTTCAAATAGAATTGTCCACAAAAAGCTTGGGGTAAAAACGAAAAAGCATAAACATTGGTGCCACCCATGCACAAAAAGTGCAACACCTGGGCCACCCCATTTTAAAAGATCTGGCTACGCCACTGAGTTTGTGATAAGTGCATTTCTGATATCAAAAGGCCCACAGACCAAGCAACATATCATTTTCCCTTTCTGTTGTTTTATGTTGGGTGATTCCAAGAACATGTTTGTATTCTACTAGGAAAAGGGAACAATCATCTCAGAAAACATCATGAGGTGATTTCCAGAGTGATAATCAGTAATTTGGATTTCTCTCAGCACTGTCATGTAATCGTGCCAAAATCATGTCATGACCCACATTCTGGGTCCCACCCCGGCAGACTGAGAGATAGATGTAACGTTTCATCATGCGGGTGGCCGGAGTTGTGTTTTTCTTCCCTCCGTGTTTGTCTATTGTTTATCTCCCAGCAAGTCTAGCCCATTAAGAGCTTAGTCCCAGCAGGTGGCTGATTGAGTTAGCTCATTAGCAAAGTGCTGAGCAGGTACAACACAAACTCGACAAACACAGTTCTAATTAACAGGCTGTAATAGCCCTGATCATGCTACACACGTGGAGCTTGTTTGTGTGTTATTTTATATGTGTGTGTGGGTGTGTATAAACATGTCAAAGCTTGTTCCTCACTGATTTGCTGTAGGAGATTGTTGTCTTTGTTTATTCATAGCTAGCTCCGCCTCTTTTCACCTCTGTCCCTGATGTAATGACTGTGTTCAGTCAGGCGGCATCAGATGACAAGTTCAAAGATTTTCTTGATGCTTTCTTTCACCCTTACTTTCTGGAACTTCTCATGACCTGCAAGAGGTTACACAAGCCCTCGCTTCCGCTTTGATTAGAGGACATCCAGGTCCACTTATCATGATGCCACACAGGCACAAACATCACTGAAGCACACACACCGTCTTTAGTAAAAGCTGGAGGAAACCAGTAACTCCACAGGGAGGAAGTGTAAGCTCTGAATAGCAGCAATAAGCACTTATCCACTTGAGCAGAATGAATTACACACACATACACTCTCACAAATGCATGCATGCACGTACACACACATCTTGTGAATCCCTGCTGATTTGACCATAGATCCATCTATTAACAGCTCTTGTTTGATGAATGTTGGAAGATTTACAGCCCATAACAGGTGAGTGGTATTGGGCTGCATGTGGTGCTTTGCACCCTGTAACCGATATGCTGAAAATAGGTGAGCAACCTGACCTCTCCACTTCTTTGTACATATTTTCAAGCAGGTGTACATGAAAACCTCTTGTCAAAAGGTTTTCTTCAATGAATGCACTGTTTTACAGTGTTTGTTATGGTTTTTGAGGTGTTGGAGATAAGACTCCTGAAAACGGGTGTCCAAACGTTTCAAGACAAAGGCCAAAACTGAAAAGTTAATACTTCTTGCAGGCCAAAGAAAAAATCAGCATAGCTAAAATATTTACCGGTAGTTTTTTGTTTTGTTTTTATTCTCCAGAAATAGGTTAAACATAGACACATTAGTAACATTTTACACATAAAGACATGATCACTCCATACCAACAACCACCTGGAGAGACCAAATGAATCATTCTGGACATTCAACTGGGGTCACACAAGGCTTTTTGACACTAACCCTAACCCTTCAAATAGAAGCTTTTCTGAATGGCACAACAAACCTAAAAGCAAAAACACAATAACCTAATATTTAGTTAATATGTAAATTTCAAACATTCTTTTATATTAAGTTTGTCTTGCTTTTTTTTAGTTCTGAAAGTTCTGGGTTAATATTAACATTAAACTATCATTATACATCTGATTTATGTGTTAAAAGGAGGTTCTAGTCCACATACGTGTTTGTCATAGTTTTTAATGTGTTTAGTCTTGATGCATCTTTTGAAATGTTATTGTGGTTTTGGTTTTATTGCAACGTGCTGCACCTCAGACAAAAGCTTTTTCAAAAACAGGAATACCATCTCTAAACACACACACACACACACACACACACACACACACACACACACACACACACACACACACACACACACACAGATTTGTGTGAGGCAGCCTGTGTCTCCCACACACAGACGTCATTTAGTCAAGCATCAGTTCATCTGAGGACAGCTGAAGCATCATGCCACAGTCATCCAAAGGCTACAGCTCATTCATTAAAATTGTACATAAAAATGTCAGGGCTGAAACAGATAAGACCTCCAGATATTCCAAAAATGTGACTGATAATTTACAATTTCATAAAATGTTTTATGACTCAAGGCCAACTCTGAGATTGTCTTGGCAGAAAAACAAAAATAAAGCTGTGTTTGTTTCTTTTTCCTAATTATGACAAATATAAAGAAAATATTATCCCACCTGCTCAAATTCATTCTTCTGAAATTCTTCAAAACCAAATAGGTCCAGGATACCAATTTCCATGGCCGGATCACTGAAAAAAAAAAGTTGAATAAAAAATTAAAAAAAGGCTGAAAACATATTGTTTTTAGTACCGTAACTTGTGTCGAAGCGTTGCTCTGACAACACCCACAACACAGTTGTGTTCATGTATGTGGAACAGCTGAAAAGGGGCGTGGCACGGATGTGTGGTTGATATGTTTATTGTATTTTGTGGTCGGCGAGTAAACAAGGCAAGGCGCAAACACATTCCAAAAGATATAGTGGTTACAGAGGTTATCTGTCTGCATGTGATAAGACTCCACAACATCAACAGCACCAAGGATCCCACGACCTTCACCTGCGTGTGTTAGGATTCAGTTTTCCGTCATGTTTTTTGCCACATTTTTCAGGCTTTAGGCCTCATGAGTGTCCTCATCTGTCCCGGTTCTTCTCTGGCATTTGCATTTCTTTGTAAATTCTTCATGACATTCAAACTATTGCTAGCCTTCACCCCTAAACTTCAAGCAATGTCAGTTTTGAAGGCCGTGACGGGGTGACAGCTTGTGTGGATGAGAAACAGACAGTGTGGTACCCGATGTTCTCATCTGGTCCCTGAAGGTAGTCGTTGATACCGTTGACCAGGTAGCTGAAGGTGCGTCCGTAGATGGCTTTAGCCAGCTGGTCTCTGTACTGCTCCGACATCTCTACTGTGTGATGACGAGTGATCGCGTCGCCTGAAACAAAGAAGCAACGGAAACATGATTTATGGCTCCTGAGAGTCAGGGTGAGATTTACCTTCCTGTGTTTACAGCCGAAAGAAGACAAGGACTGACACTTTCTAAATTAAGATGGATGCCATGATAAAAATCATGTTTACTAATCCCTATTGATTATGCAGAACAGGCTATGTGGTATTCTTCAAACAGCCCTCAGTGTCCTCAGATGAAAATAAAAGCTTGAATTAAAAAAATCTAATTAATAATTATTTATTTTGAGGTTGACATTAGACTTCTTCTTCTAAATGCTTTCACCTACTTTAGGCTTTATGTTTTGTTCATTTGTTTGCAGTGTTAGTGGGATAAATCCGAATTTAACTAGCAGAACCAGACTAAAGATGGATGCTTTAAAAGGACAAACAAATAATCCAAAATATGTCAAATTAGCTGTATTGTTTTATTTATTCACAATTAAGAAATGGTCAATGTCCCCATCCATCAAACACATGCTGCATAGTGGCTTGGTTATGAGCACTGCTGACTTGCAGCAAGCAGAGGTGCCACGTGCCGACAGGCAAGGCAGACGTTTTGCTTGAGTCTGGCCACAAGGGGGGCCCAGAGAGTGGACAGAAGTGAAAGCTGTCATCTGACAGTGCTGGACCCCCCCTCACCTCCCACAAGCACATTTTCTGGTCTGCACACATGCATTAATGGGTTTTCCACTGGTCTACCGGACACCTCCCTCAAGCCAAAAAAAGTTATTTTACTGCATTGCTGTATCGACAATTGCCAGTTGCTTTGGATTGTGATTAAAAATTAATCTATGTTTGTCAGTTTAAATGAGAATTTATTTAATAAAGACTTTATTTCCTAAAAAGAGGTAGAAATTTATAAGGTGTTTTCTGTTTTTCTGCTCATTCTCCTTCAAGAGTTTTGCGTTGATTGCTGTTGTTTTTTATTTTATTTTTCACAAATTAAATGAATAATACTACTAAAAGCCTCTGAAAATGAATATACACAAGCATGTGTCTTTTATTATGTTAACCAAGTTAATTTGGACTCGTGGAAACAAGTGTTGCCCATCCCTAACATGCAGAATGACCACTTTTAAAACTAACCTGGGAACTTTTCTGGATTTCCCAAAGGGAAAAGTTGCAGTTTACTGATTGACACCTTAAACATTCTCTCTCTCTCTCAGAGTTTGTCTTTCTCAAGAGTTAAGGTTGTGAAAAGCATTGACTTGATACCTTTGATATACTGAACATCCGAGGTGAGCGCGGTGCTTAGGTCATTTGGGGACACCTGCAACAATGCAGCAACTACAGAGAAGGAGAGAGAGAGAAATAAAGCAGACTCATGATGACAAAGATCAAAATAATGCTGTTAATAATTTACTAAGCATCAGATGTATACACTTGATATATTTTATTACTTCCAGAGCTCGGCTTTGATGATGACAACATGCTGACAACATCACAAACTGAACTCTGCCACAGTTGACTACTGTTGAACTGATCAGCTGATTTGTCAGCGATTAGTCATCCCTGGACTTCAGAGCAGAACCCGTAAACAAGCAACAAAAACAGGTGACGGCAACCCAGAGACCCCTCACTGACATCACCAGCCATGACATCACATCTCCCTGACAACAGAGGCTGTTTCCCGTTTGGGCGATGATGTCGCTGTTTACCATCTCGCTGGGGGTGAGGGGTCACAGGAGCACATGCAGCCGATGCATAATAGGAGGATAAGGCAAGGGGGAGAGGTAAATGTTGAACCCTCTGCATTTAGCAACATTCCTGCAAAGCTGGGGATGAAAGCCAAGTTGTGATTGGGAATTGTGGGGGAGGGGTGTCTGACCTTTCTCCAGCAGCTGCAGGTCAGAAGGGAAGGCTGCGTTGGCGTCCGTCAGTGCGGTGAAACGTAAGTCCCCAATATGGAGCACGGCAGAAAGCAGCGTAAACACAGAGTCAACCTCCTAACAGAGAGAAATCACACACATGGGAATAAAGCTGTTAATGTAGAGTAAAGATTAGATTAGATTAAAAAATATAGAGCTTTTTTGTATAAATATTTTTTTTACTAGCTTTTCATATGAAAGACGAAAAAAAAAACCATAAATCCAACCTCTTTAGGATTTTAGTAGACTGTTTTCTGAAGATTTATCATGATGCTGTACACACTTACCTTTCATCTTTGATCAAAAAAATTTACAAAAATGTTTCCCCAGTTTTTTAAATATCATCTATCCATTTTTGGCCGCTTATCCGGGGTCAGGTCGCGGGGGCAGCAGCCTAAGAAGAGAGGCTCAGACTTCCTTCTCCCAGCCAATTGGGCCAGCTCCTCCTGGGGAATGCCAAGGTGTTCCCTGGCTAGCCGAGAGACATAGTCCCTCCACCGTGTCCTGGGTCTACCTTTAGGTCTTCCCCCAGTTGGACGTGCCTGAAAAACTTCATCGTTGAGGTGTCCAGGAGTCATCCTAACTAGATGCCCGAGCCACTTCAACTGGCTCCTCTCGATGTGGGGGAGCGGCGGGTCTACTCCGAGCCCCTCCCGGATGACGCTTCTCACCCTGTCTGTAAGGGAGAGCCCAGATGCCATGTGGATGAAACTCATTTTGGCCACACGTATCTATGATCTCATTCTTTCAGTCACTACCCAAAGCTCGTGAGCATAGGTGAGGGTAGGAACGTAGATCGACCGGTAAATCGAGAGCTTTGCCTTCTGGCTCAGCTCTCTCTTTACCATGACAGATCGGTACAACGCCCGCATCATTGCAGACGCATCACCAATCCACCTATTGATCTAACGTTCCATCTTCCCCTCACTCGTGAACAAGACCCCGAGATACTTAACTCCTTCAACTGGGGCAGGACCTCCTCCCTGACCTGGAGAAGGCATTCTACCCTTTCCGACTCAAGACCATAGTCTCGGAATTAGAGGAGCTGATTCTCATCCCAGCTGCTTCACGTACCCTCAACACTAACATTAATACTGATGTTAAGTGGTGGTCTTTCAATAAAAGCTTCCACCTGAGCCACAGTCTATATGGAAGCTACAGATTTGTTACCATCAACAAATGACTAGAAATGATCCAACATGAATTCTAACTGAAGGAAACTCTTAAAATGAACCTTTACAGCCCAAGCTTTCAGAACAAAGCCTCATTAAGTTACGTCCTCAGAGCCAAAGACCTCTGCTGTTATTCAAACACCTACAATATGCTTTAACCCTCTGGAGGCAGGCGTTGTAGATTAGCAACGTTAAAACCTACCTACCTGGTTACTCCACATACGTACTTCATGAGCATTTTTTAACTCAGAACTGAAGTACCCCTGAAGGACTTAGTTGTTCGTCCTTTTATCAAAACTTATTTTGAGCCTGAGAGGGTTAATAATGGTCAAGCCAAGTTGCTTATCTGCCCTGATCCCTGGAGTGTGTTTTGTTTCAGGCTCATGTGGAGTTTGTAGTAAAGTTACCTGTGTACCTGTATTCACTTTCAAAACTGCTGTTGTTATGACAGAATAAGAGACAAAAAAAATAAATAAATAAAAATCTCCCATCTGCTCCCTGATGTTGAATTTGTAGATTTTTTTTTTGTGTTTTAAACTTAAAGAGGGACTGCACACCATCAGAAAATGCAACTCCACCCCAGTCAAGATCTGAAAAATGCCATGAAAGTGGGAGTTGCCAGAAGGCACAGAGTGGCATGGCCAAGTGAGGGGAATTTCCATCCTGAGAGGGAGTGGGAGGAGACTGTACCGATGACATGAAATTGTTCCAGCCCCAGTCAATCACAAGTTTAAAATGCAGTAGCTGCTGTTCTGCCACAGGGGGGCAGCACTAAGACATTTTTAAAGGCGTAGATTCTAGATTTAATCAAGTTTACACTAACATGTCAAAAATGCACAGAAACAGAAAGATTGCATTTGTAAAGACCCAATTATGCAGTTTATAAGCCAAAAAAGTTATTTTGGGGTTTAGTTACTCTTTAATGTTTTTATTTGCAAATGTTGGAAAATATACAAATTACTGAATTGGCACAAATTACATTTTTAATAGTGCCCTTGTATGGGCACACGACTTAACTGCAAACAAATAAAATGTCTTATTTACATTTCTATTTGTTTGTTATTCCCGGGTTATTTACAACCCCTCCCGATATTCCAATGAGTTCCAGATCTGAGAAAACTCTGCAACACTTCTTTGTGGAATAGAGGCGTGATGCCCTGCAGGGGAAGTGAGATCCATTGTGAATGTTTCAGCACATTTTGAGAACTCCATCTCAAGTTGATGTTTGAAATGTGTCACCAACAGCTCAGCAACCCAGTTAGATACAAACGATGCAAAAAACCCCAAAGTGTCAATCGTTTCCTTGCTCTTCACACCTTTCTCTTCCTCTGTCACACTTTTCCTCCTCTGCCCTTCAGTAGAGGTCATCTGATGGAAAACCCCCATTATCCCGCTGCTCTGAATCTTTGAGGAGGGATGTCTGAGTTCGAGGGTGTGTGTGTGCACATATCTGTGTGTGCACCGCACTCTCTCAGGGCAGGGTATTGGAGCTGATACCTTGCAGATAAACATGCACATTAGTCTCTGTCTGACACTCAATACACACAGCAACCCCCACCCCTTCTCTTTTAGAAAGGAGGAAAAAAACTGAGTGAGGTATAGAAAAGCAGCGATAGGGAGCGTTAATGACGATTGACCTTTGGGTTCGGTCTGGGAGTCGTCTGTTGATGAGTGCTTAGACATAGACCAATGGGTGGTCTATCATTTCCACTGACACCCCTCCACCCCCCTTTTCTGAACCTAGATCCCTCAACCAGCAGACGGCATGATAATTCCACCATCCTCTCGCTCTATTTCTCCCTCCCTTATGCAATGCCTGTGTGCATTGGCGGCTGCGGGATTAAAAGGTGAGATGATGGTCACTCACATTCAGCAGGATAAACGCTATACAGGGATCTAAGAATAAAACCTGACAGCGGTCTCGGAACACAGCTGGTGGTGCACAGGACAACCCGTCCCAATGCATACTACAAGCACACTGTATTAGATATCCGGTGTGTTTGCTCACTCGTTTCGGTGTGTACGTAGATGCTTACCTAAGTACCACTTGCGCATGCATTGGCATGTGCAATGAGTCCTTGGCAGCCCTCAGTGTCCTCTTTCTTTTCATGTGATCATGTCAATTATTCAGTGGTGTGAGCGGTCCTTGTTTAAATATTTGGGGAATTGTCTGAGTCCATTTTATTATTTACAAAAGTATTGTGATATTTAAATCATGAATCATTATTTGATTTAGTGGATGAAGGCTACATCTGCACTTTGAAGGTCACGGTTATGGGGCTGCTGGACTAAAGAACCTGCTAACTTTCTCGCGCACGAAGAAAAATGTGACGTACTAATCCCCCTGGTGATCCATTAGAGATTAGAACATTGAACCTGTTTAATGATGGTCTAAATCCAACCAACATTCCATGTTAGTGGGTGAACAACCCAACCCATCTGTAGGAATAAAGCCTGTAAGCACAATCAATACCTGCTTGTTGAATCCCAGAGCCCGCAGGGCTTGTTTGACTGCAGCCAGATGTTCTCTACTCTGGACAGATGCTGTGTCTACTGGAGGACTCTCCCCTGGAATTCCTCCACTAAGATACCTAAGAGTCAGAAAGACAGAAGGAGTGACCAATGAGGGACTTCTTTTTGTTTTGGCAAGTGGCAATGACGTCTAAAATTATCATCAGTCACATACCTGTGTGCCAGGACGTTATTAAGGTAAAGTGCACTCTTTTCCTCTGGCAAAAGGCCCTCAGCCATCAAGTAGAAGATGCTGAAACTGTGTTGCTGAGGAGGCAGATGGACCAGACGAGACTTCTCCAACATGTAGGTGTAAACACGGGCTTAAACATAACAAACGGCCATAGAGTCAGCATAAAAAAGGCAATTCAGTACATTTGGGACGGATTAAAGCTTTTGATCTTCATTTTACTAATCAATCACTGCTTAGAGACTAAATTTACCAAATAAAATGACTTCTTCAGCAAAAAAAAAGGACCAGTTAACGATGGATGAATGAGCTTTTGCTGCCCCCTGTTGGCGTTCTTAAAGATTGAATAAATTAAAGTAAAATAAAGTCAGTTAACCTCTGTGTTTTTCATATAAGTGCATTTATGCTTTTTTATGATACACTCTGAGGCTTAAACTCAAAAACCTAAGAACATTACTGCTTTTTAATTCCATAAACAAAAGGCATTTTATTTTAAAACATCAAGAACACAATGAAGCCCAAACAGCATTTGGGATGCAGAATTTATGTTTTCTTCTTTCTTTATTTTATGCTAGAGTTAGCACCTCATTTGTTGCACCATCTGCTCAATGACAATATTATTCAGATTTTATCAGCTTTTGAGTCCCTTGTGAACTCAGAAAGGATGGTGAGCCCATCAGACATGCATGTTAGAGTACCTCTCAGCATCACCCGCCTCTCTTTACAGTACTGGATGGTTAACAGCTTGATGAAGCGGCTTGAGTTGCTGTTCCTTGGTGTCTTTGCATGACCAAAGGCTTCTAGAATGTGGTTTACCTGAGTATTACAATAAAAAGGGTAAAGTATTAAATCTTCTAATCTTGTATATTTTAATTCAGATAAAATAACTTTTGTTTTTCAGGAAATAGCAACAATTTAAATTAGATTTATTTCACAAAACTACAAAGAAAATCCTTTCTTCTACCCCTAGATGTCAGCAAACATCAATTAAATAGGAATTGGGAGCTTTTACTGTCCCAAAATGACAAGTTGACCCAGATATTGCCTGAAAAACAATGACTTCATCAAGAAACAGCACTCCCTGATTACACATTGTTTTTCTGTAAAAGTCTCACATACAGAGAAAAGAATGGACGTGATTGTGAAGCAGGTGGATGTGAACTAGAGCAGCTAGGGAGGACACACACAACTGCCAGGTTAATGGCATTTCCTTTAATCTTCTCTAAAGGACATTTGAACTGATCTAATTTTATTTCATAATAGAAATTGCCACAAAATATGCAGATCCAAGCAAATGGTTTATGATTGAAGAGTTTTCTGTATCAGGATGAAACTATTTGTGAAGTCTTCTTTTAACAGAAGAATATTTTTATTCATTATACATTATTGGACTGTAAACATTGATGATGTCATGAATACTTCAAAGATGTAATCCACACATAAACAGCTGTCATCATTCAAAAGAGAGAAACATTTGTACTTTTACAGTTTTTACAATTTGCATAGTGAAACGTCAAAAGATCCAAAAAGACAAGTTTATCAGACAGGAATAACAATAATAATAATAATATACATGAACGACTATAATTTACACATGAGAGCATGTCAAAGACGTCTACTTCATGGTGCTTAATCATGTTTCTTCCACATATCTTAAAAGTTCAAGAACTTGATCAACATTTTAGAGAGGGACACAATCAGACTTACGTGCTTCATTCGAGCCTCTAACCCGAAGCCTTTGGGGCTGGAGCGGGCTGTCAAGTGTCTCACTATGTGCTTACATGCCTCGGTTTTCCCAGAACCACTCTCACCACTAAAGAGACAGAGACACGTACAGTCAAGGTTTTCATATCCTAGGGCAGGGTTGTACGCCGTTAGCATCTGCTTCATCGTAATGATGTTAGACCATAGAGCTAGCTCATCACTCAGCTGCATCTGTTTGTGATGACGTGATGCTTACGTTCTACAGTTCTCCTTACCTGGATAGGCTTTGCATTTTTTGTGCACATCTCTAGATTTCTGATGTAACCGTGTTTGACAAATAACTAAAAAAAGATACACCTAAAGTTCTCCCTAAACTATAAAACCCATTAAGAATGTAGAAATGAATTCTCCAAGTTCATTTAGACAGAGCTGTGCAAATGGGGTCTGACGGGACCCTGCATGAGTTGTTAGACGAGTGCAACAAAACTGTGGATAAAACGATAAGCAGCAAACAAATTCAAAAATAAATGCCAGATTCTGTAACTAAATTAAATTTCCACATTTTTTCTAAGGTTTCTTACGTGCGTATGAACTCTTCCAGTTTTGTGTCTCACCCCAGTCGCCTACAGTCTCTTTTCAGTGAGATTCTGTCCTGGTGTTCCATTTTACTTATGATTCTGACATGTGACTTTCTTCCAAAAGATGAAGATAAATCAGAGCTCTGTCTCAGAAGAGTAGGTGTGAGACGTTAGTCATCATGGTGTCTCCTACATCTGCCACCTTAGTTAGGTGGCTCCACCCACCTGACATCACCTCTTTAATGACGTCCGCCCATAAAATTTACCAGCTAAAGTGCTCGTCCTGACATTGACAGCATTTTCCCCACTGACCACCTCTTCCTGCACGCTAGAGGTCTGGTTTTAATTTTCTGCTGAGTGGATATTAAGGCTGACACAAGGTTCCTCTGCAGTGCACGCTCTGACGCTCACTGCCAAGCGGAGAGTCGAGACGTGCTCGGTAACACCAAGCAGATGGCTACAGAAGGTCAGGAGCTTACACTAATGACCACAGCGTGCTTTAGGTGTGCTGTTTGACTGCATGTGTGCGTGTTTTGCTTCATTTCTCACAAACGGACCTGGTGAGTGTGAAGTCAGAAGGTCCTGCCACTGTCTTTTCATTTACCGGTGTTTTATTAGATTTCAAGGGCATTTTGTTCGAGCACTTGCCTCAAGAGGAGATGTTGATTGCCTGTGTGTGTGTGTGTGTGTGTGTGTGTGTGTGTGTGTGTGTGTGTGTGTGTGTGTGTGTGTGTGTGTGTGTGTGTGTGTGTAAGGGAGTTACACACTAGAATACAATGCAACACAAGGCCTTACCAAAAGTGGAAAAAAAGAGTAGAAATTACACGTGCAAGAAATGGACAGAGGTAATAGTGCCCTGTGCACGTTTTGAGTTTACAGTACCATGCCATTTTGTGTGTGTGTGTGTGTGTGTGTGTGTGTGTGTGTGTGTGTGTGTGTGTGTGTGTGTGTGTGTGTGTGTGTGTGTGTGTGTGTGTGTGTGTGTGTGTGTGTGTGTGTGTGTGTGTGTGTGTGTGTGTGTGTGTGTGTGTGTGTGTGTAAGGGAGTTACACACTAGAATACAATGCAACACAAGGCCTTACCAAAAGTGGAAAAAAAGAGTAGAAATTACACGTGCAAGAAATGGACAGAGGTAATAGTGCCCTGTGCACGTTTTGAGTTTACAGTACCATGCCATTTTGTGTGTGTGTGTGTGTGTGTGTGTGTGTGTGTGTGTGTGTGTGTGTGTGTGTGTGTGTGTGTGTGTGTGTGTGTGTGTGTGTGTGTGTGTGTGTGTGTGTAAGTGAGATGGATGGAGCATGGCCAGCGTGCATTAACTCTCTGCCAGATTGGTTACGACTCGGTGGGAATGTCACCAGAGAGCCGGAACAGGATTTAATTGCAATCAGAGTGTTGCCTCGGTCCTGTCGAGGACAAAGAGCGAGGCAACACTCCCTGCTAACATCCATCTCCGTGTGTGAACCCTGAACAGGTCCACAGCTTGGCTCCAGCTGAGAGCTATTAATCTTTCTGGAAGTGTCTAACAGGTGTATGTGGGTGGGGGGAACCAGGTGGGCAGCTTTGCGATCATTTACACTTTTTTTTCTGCTATGAAAATGTCAGAAGTGTTTTGGCCTCAATTTTTTTAGGTGTTTAGCTCCATGACCATGGAAGGAGAAAGGGAAGGCAGGTGTACCTCAAGATAAAACACTGCGGCCGTCTCTCCTGCTGCATCATGTGGTATGCTCTCTCAGCTGAAGAGAAGATGTGAGGAGGCAGAGAAGAGCAGAGACGACCGGTGGAGCTCTGGTACAACTGACTCACCTGGAAAAGACAGGTGTACTTTAAATGACTCAAATACAAATGCAGTCTCCACATGGCAGTGAGACATTTCTGGGTGATGGGATGGTGTGGTTTACAGCTTGATGCAACATTGTAATTAAATCACAGCAGACACAACTTGAGGAGATAGTTTTATCAATTTTCAAACAAGAAGTATTTCAGTGCTTTTAATTAAGTCCCAAATAAAAAAATCCAGTATGCATGTACACATTAAGCACAGAACAAAGCTTGTACAGAAGCTGCTGCACAATTTAAGAAGTTTAAATGTGTTCAAAACCCTAAGGTTCAGATCCACCATGGATGCACTAGAAAAGCTGTTTCAGCTTTATTTTCAGTGCATATCTACACCTGCTACAGTACGAGCTGCTTCAGAACAGCAGTGGTAAAAGCTCAAAGTAACAGTATGAACATGCCTATAAAGTTCTAAATAAGTGAATACCATACACATGGTTTCTCATATCTTTATCTATCTATCTATCTATCTATCTATCTATCTATCTATCTATCTATCTATCTATCTATCTATCTATCTATCTATCTATCTATCTATCTATCTATCTATCTATCTATCTGTCTGTCTGTCTGTCTGTCTGTCTGTCTGTCTGTCTGTCTGTCTGTCTGTCTGTCTGTCTGTCTGTCTGTCTGTCTGTCTATCTATCTATCTATCTATCTATCTATCTATCTATCTATCTATCTGTCTGTCTGTCTGTCTGTCTGTCTGTCTGTCTGTCTGTCTGTCTGTCTGTCTGTCTGTCTGTCTGTCTGTCTGTCTGTCTGTCTGTCTGTCTATCTATCTATCTATCTATCTATCTATCTATCTATCTATCTATCTATCTATCTATCTATCTATCTATCTATCTATCTATCTATCTATCTATCTATCTATCTATCTGTCTGTCTGTCTGTCTGTCTGTCTGTCTGTCTGTCTGTCTATCTATCTATCTATCTATCTATCTATCTATCTATCTATCTATCTATCTATCTATCTATCTATCTATCTATCTATCTATCTATCTGTCTGTCTGTCTGTCTGTCTGTCTGTCTGTCTGTCTGTCTGTCTGTCTGTCTGTCTGTCTGTCTGTCTGTCTGTCTATCTATCTATCTATCTATCTATCTATCTATCTATCTATCTATCTATCTATCTATCTATCTATCTGTCTGTCTATCTATCTATCTGTCTATCTATCTATCTATCTATCTATCTATCTATCTATCTATCTATCTATCTATCTATCTATCTATCTATCTATCTATCTATCTATCTATCTATCTATCTATCTATCTATCTATCTATCTATCTATCTATCTATCTATCTATCTATCTATCTGTCTGTCTGTCTGTCTGTCTGTCTGTCTGTCTGTCTGTCTGTCTGTCTGTCTGTCTGTCTGTCTGTCTGTCTGTCTGTCTGTCTATCTATCTATCTATCTATCTATCTATCTATCTATCTATCTATCTATCTATCTATCTATCTATCTATCTATCTATCTATCTATCTATCTATCTATCTGTCTGTCTGTCTATCTATCTATCTATCTATCTATCTATCTATCTATCTATCTATCTATCTATCTATCTATCTATCTATCTATCTATCTATCTATCTATCTGTCTGTCTGTCTGTCTGTCTGTCTGTCTGTCTGTCTGTCTGTCTGTCTGTCTGTCTGTCTGTCATCTTAAATATATATATATATATGTCACAAACTGCACAAGTTTTAATAAAAGAAAGAAAGAAACAGACAGTAATTTGGACGGGCTTTTTTAAAAATGGGCAAACTCCTGGGGTGCAGAGCGACACTGTTTGGTTTAACGTCATACTGGATGAAGGTGCAAAATTTGCACCCAGAAAATGTGAGCAAACTATGGGTGAATGCAAATCACTGATCTGTTTATCGCATGTTTTATTTAACTGAGTGAACTTTAACATCTGTGCAGCAGATATGTGCCAGCGCTGCATCTCCGGCTGTAGGAAAGTGATGGAGGATGGGACCAGGACACCTAAAAGGTGACAGATGGCCAGCAGATGACACATGTTGTCACATATGTCCTTCTCACAATGACTCCTCCATGCCCCTCCACAACCTCACAGTTTGGTATAAAGTCTTGGAATGTGTCCAGACAGAAGCTGGAATGGCACAACCAAAGAGGGACTTGGGTTCATCTTTGTCCCGACAGGAGAAGCAGCTGTTCTCTCCTTCATGCAGCCCCCCCTAAACCTCAAACCAGCAGTAACTCTGCAGTTTCAAAATGAAGCATCTGCTTTTTATTGGAATTTTTGCAATTTTGTGGTGTTAATATTATGACATTTAACAAAAAACTAAAAATATGTGTGAAAAGTGTGCATATTTAACTTGTATTCTTGGCTATAAACAAATATTTCTACAAGAGGGTGTTTCTGTGGCTGCTGCAGAGTCAGCTTTATGCTGTGTATCACTAACAGGAAGACTGCATTATTTATCAACTACATGGTCCATTTCATCTGTTCCTGCTTGCCTTTTTCTACAGGAAACACATTTCCTGTAGAATATAATTTTACATCACTTATCAAACGCAACACGGTGCTTTTAAATTGGACCAGTGTGTATGAAGCATGCTTTTCCTGACTTTTAAAAGTATTTAAAACAAATTCTTACCAATGTGGAATAGATGGGCAGCTCTTTGTTTGGGTTGACCAGTAGAAGGATGTGTCCGATGTACGTCTGAACACAAGCAGGGAAACACATGTAGGTGATTAAAAAATGTCTTCCGTACATTTCACATTGCAACACACAGGATTATTATGGGATGTGAAGACATTATCCTATGAACCAAAGCTGAAAAAGGCAACAGTCACACACAATGGAACAATCAATCAGTGAACAAAAGCAACTAAAAATGGATAATTGACTTTTTTAGAATGACCCCATAATTTAAACGTCAGTAATAACGTAATTATGTGATGTTTCTCAAATTGTGTCTTAAACAGATTATTCAAGTTATTCTGGAAACTCTTCAAACAAGCTTTGTTTGTTCAGTTTCTTGGAGATTAAATTCTGGGGAATTTGACAAGTCAGCAGACTAAATTAAGCCTGTACAGTTCAAATTGTTCCACTTGGGTTTTAATCATTTCTCTGAGCAATAGCATCTCAGAGCAGCAACATATTTCCACTTGTTTATATTCTGTTTCATTCTGGGATGATGAATGTTGGGTTGGAGCATAAATTAGAACTGAATAAACAATCCTTAAGAGGGCAGAAATCTTAAATTGATCAGGAGTTTTTTTATATTTTGTTTAGGGAACACAAATTATCCATTAATTAGCTGCCAATTAATGTGCATATTAGTGGACAACTAAGCCAGAATTAGTCATTATTAAGCCATTATTAGGTGCTCATTACCAATGCTGTAATTCTAACATTAACAGGCCATAAATTAAGAGTTTTATCATAATAAGCCATTCATAACGGTTTGTTAACTGAAATTAAATGGCTTGTTGCTGATTAACACACATACTAATTATATCAAATCAATATGTGGCTTTTAAAGAAGTAATTCAAGGGGAATAATTATTCTGCATTAATAACCAAACATATGATGTAGTGGTATTATGTAAATACACACCAAACTCCACAGTTACAGTTTTTCTCAATTGCTTTGGTGCATTTCTCACAACAGAATTGATCTCTGCACTACTATTTAGGCTTTTCTCAAAACAATTAGTGCAAACTGCAAAACATGGTGGATAACTTGCAAAAGTGAGTCACTTCATCAAAAAGAAAAGTCAGTTGTTCAGAAGCAAGTCAGTTGCTCAAAATAAGTAGTCAATGCTTCAAAAGCAAGTCTCTTAATCATAACAGATAATATATTCATCAAAAGCAAGTACTTATATCAAAGTGTCAGGGCTGTCACAATTACAAGTCATTACACCAGCACCTTTGGTCACAAAATCAAATGGTTTGAACATGTTCTCATTGTGACGGATTTCTTTGTAGGTGCTTCCCAATGACATGTCAAGTCTGGACAGCATGCATGGCATGTTGAAAACCATACATTGTAAAGGGAAATCAAGACACTTCACATGCACTCTTGAAAATATTTAATTGAAACTGTTCACAGCATTGTGCAACTGGGGAAATACAACAAACATTTTACAGCAAACATAAACTCACTTAGACAGTAAACCTTACTGCAGTAGTTATGAAACAAAAAAAAAACTGAACAGACACTGCTGCATATCAGTCATTGATATCTAGACTCTCCCGTCTGTCTGCCCACATATTTTCATCAGCATCACAGCGAATGTCAGCTCTATCGATGCATCGGGGAAAGTATCTTCTGGAGTGTCGAATCCACCCTCTGCAGGACTCTGCTGTGATGTCATCACAAGCTGCATCCATGGCTGCTAGCAGGGCCATTTGGGTATGTGGATGCCTGTCATATACCTTCCACCTCCAGGAAGAGAAAAACGCCTCAATTGAATTTAGGAATGGAGTGTAAGGAGGAAGAAACTCCATAAGCATCCTGCCGTGTGCTGCAAACCACTGCCTGACTACAGCAGAGTGATGGAAGCTAACATTATCCCAAACCACTACATACATTGTCCGATTGTCACCAATATTCATTAGTGTGAGATGAGGTTCACCTTGTGGTTCTTTTTCCTTATCAAAAACAAGAAAGAGACAGGTTTTGTCCAAACTCAGCGGGGGGCATTTATTTACACAACTCATCCATACATCACCAACACTTCACAGGGGACAGCGTCCAGCTTCGATCTAAACACCTCGGCTGGAGATCCTTCTGCAAAAGCCCACTCTCCTACACCACGCAGCATCAGTTATACTATTCAACCCCCACCTCCCTTTTGATTCTGAGAAATGATGGGGTGCTACTTCCACATCCTAATATGGTCAAAAGTAGTTGAAACTTACATAAGCTGGACAGATCAACATGTTTTTGGAGCATGTACTCAGCAGCTGGGCTGCCTGATAAACGGCTGGCATTGATAAGCAACATGTCAACATGCACGTACACAAAACACTGCTTTTAGCTCCTACAACCTGAGAAAAGTCATTTATGGAGATTTCCATGGAAACTCCTTAAAAATAGGGTTTTCAAAATGGGTGTACAAATTGTTTGACAAGAA